ACCAAGGAGGCTCAGCTTTCAGACCGCTTTAGATGCTCAGGAACAAAGTGCTTTAGAAGACCAAGAGCATGACGACCTCAATCAACGGCTGTCTGCACTTGCCATGAACCCCAGTCCCCTGGCAACAGCTGACGAGAAGGCCGAACTTGAAGTCGACTACTTCTAAAAAGGAGGCAACTACCACCAGCAGAAGACCACCTGAGGCAACTGCTACGGTAGCATCTGGCCAAAGGCCCTGAAACTCGCCAAAGAGCCTCGTGCACACCTCTAGGAAAAAAAAATACATACATACATACATGTGTATGAGTATAGAAAGAGAGAAGAACAAGCAAGACTCCAGTACTTCGAGGATTGAGGATGGAGAAATATTAAGACTCCACTACTTAGAGGATTGAAGATGGAGAAAGGTACGCTATGATACGCGCACCTCCTGGATCGAAGATTGAAGATTCTGCCAAGACTTTGGGTAGAAAGGAAAGGGAAGGAAAGGAATGCTGTGGGTTGTGCCATCAATCCTGAATGAACGCACAAATGTACCTCTCAAATAGGTCAATGGAGTTGGGAGTGGACGCACCAGGAAATGGACAGGGAAGGAAAAGGCCAGGGTAGGAGATGGAAGGCATCACCAGGACATCAAAAGGTCTCAACCAGAAATCCATAGGAATCCAAAGGAAATCATAAGGAAATTAGAAGGAAATCAAAAGGACATCAAAAGGAACCAATAGGAACCAGAAGGAAATCAAAAGGTTTCTACAGGAAATCAATAGGCATCAAAGGAAATCAGTAGGAAATCAAAAGGGTACTGTAGATGGTCGCAATGCTTTGGGTTGCGCCATCAATTCCGAGCATGCAAGCAACGCACTACCAGTCAACTCATTTTCCTTTGCGCCATCTATTTTTCCTGACCCCGATGATGGTGCCAACCACCAAACCACCGTTGGTCGTGCCACGGCCAAGAATGCGCCACATGTCTTCCACATTCACGGAAGGTCCATCGTAGAGCCTCAAGAAGGCTGGAGGCAAGTAAAAATCATAAATCTTGCCGTACTTGACATCACCCATGCCCTGGTTGTTTCCGATCGCCAAGGTCAAGAAGGAGCACATCATGGCGCGGCCATCGGTGATGTTGCAGTCGAACAACAGATTTGGATACGCAATCTTCATCTCCTCGTTGTCGGGATCAATGTAGTATACCAGGGCATCCACGGACTTGGTGAAGTCATCAGTGGTGCACACGTTCACGTTGGTACCAGTGGAGGACTCAGCAGCAAAGTGAGCAGCGGTTGCCAAGTAGTCGTAGCCGGCCTTGGGCTTCATGATGTAAGCTACCAAAACATGCTTGCCGTTCCTGATCAAGGTGTCCTCGTCCAGGGACAAGTCTGCATAGCGGCTGGACTGGTCCAATGCCTGTCGAGTAACACGGCTCTCCTTGACTGGGACCACACTTGTAGGTAAGGTTGATGTGCGTGAATGACGGCCAGCTCGCTGCGATGCAACTGCTGCAGCCGCCACTGCACCACCACAGGCAAGGACAGGCATAGCACCAGGAGAGGATGCAGTCTGTGCCTGCACTGTGGCTGGGGTTCCTCGAAGGCTGGGTGCCAGTTGCGGGTGCTGCCACGAAGGCATCAGAGGCCGCATTCAGCAATGCAAGCCCACCAACAGCAGCACCAGCCAAGGCCATGTTGGAAGATCTTTGCATCTTGGCTCTAAGACCACGCTAGGAAGGAAAATCTACTGGGAAAAGCTCGGGCCAAATGCTGCAACCTGTGCCGAGACAATGAAGCTCTCGTGAGCACAACAAGCGTTTTTGACTGTGACCAAGTAGATCTCCCTGGGAATGCAGCAAGCCAAACACGAGCGAGATTTGCCCAAGGAAGTGTGAAGTCTGGAGTGTAATCTTTGGAAAATGTGCATTATCCTAATCATCTTCCCATGGCCCAGAGATGCAGCTCGGCGGCCTATAAAGACTGCCAACGAGTGATGCAGCAGCGCTTTCCCTGCGGCAAAGCGACACATTTCTTGGAAACACGCCGCTGTAGACTATAAGTTGTGGTACCTTATTCTTCTTTGTGGTGTGATCATATCCATGTACATCTCCACATGTTTTGCTGAAGTAGTAGCCAACATTATACATCTTACATATATATCTACATAACTGTTGAGCACTTGTTAGGATTGTCAGAAAGGCCAACAGCACATTTGATTGATACATGCTGGAAGATTGAGCACGAAGCACGTACCGGACACACAACATCTGTATCGGATTCACTTATAGTCTTATAGTATTTTTTGGAAACTGATTTAACAGAAAGCAAATGCGCCTTGCAGGTTGTGGCATGTTGGCAAGAGAGAGGTGGCTGAGAACACAGAACCATTCATCATGAGCTCTTCTGTCCTCTAAGTTACGACCAAAAAGACTGGTCAACACCTAGGTCCCTCTTTCAGCTTCACAGGCTTCCCAGTTTGTTCAGGCAAATGACTATTTGTTGGACTTGCGATTTACACAGAATCTACTTTGCTTGAGAAAAGCCAACTTGCATGGAAAAACATAGCCACCTTCAGGCTAAACACAGCATGAGCGTGCTCACTGCATCCACTGTCGTGTACACAATTATATATTATATACTAATACTATATTCTGCACAAACGGATTCCACGCTGTTTTCACGCTGTTTTGTAAATCCTCAGTGGCTGCCCGATACCTCTCGCGCTCTTCGCACAAAACTGTTCCATGCCACTTCACTGCATCTGGTTTCTCCGCCCTGCCCGGCTTTGAGTAGGGCTCTCAGCACTTAGCTGAAACATCTAAAAAGGGGAACGATATCAACCAAGGATAAGCAAGGACACTCAAGCGCACATTTATGCGCACATGCCCTTCTTTTCTGTCTTTGCTTTGGTCTGTACTGGGGAGTGTGCGACCACAATATTCTGGCGCTTGACTTTGAAATCGGGCCCGAAAACAAACGTGTCAGTGGCTGTGGAATAACCGCAGCCCGGGCATTTCCACACCAAGAATACTGTCTTGCCTGGCTCGTCGACTTCGATCACGGGAGCTTCCAGGGTCTTGAGGTCGGAAAGGTCCTTGAAAAGATCAGTGAACATATCGCGAATCCCTTGAAGACCAGCAAACTCCTTCTTGGAGCCATCCACGGTGTTGTACAACTTGGCAATCGAGGTCTCATCATAATCTAACAAAATCTTGTCCAAGTCCTGCTTTCCAAAGGCATCAAAGTGATTGTCCCACGCAGCTTGGACTGATGTGGCAAAGTATGCCGTGCCTCCGGCAATTGAAGTGGGAACAAAGGGTGCCTGTGTGGCAGGCAAAGTGGTGACATTCATTCCCGGCGTCACATAGGCGCCAGGCGCTGTGTGTGGCACAGAAGCTGGCTGCGGAACGTACATCGCAGCTGGCTGGGCGTCATAGAAGGGGCCTGATGTTGTGCCATCCGCATTCCGAATGTAGTAGCCCCCGGGAGCCGCCATCACCACTTCCAGGAGCCTTAAACTGAAGCAAAGTCCCACTGGCCTTGAGAACTTGAGCCGGCAATTGATACGGCGATACCAGGCATGCAACAATTCAGCAGCATTCTAGTAGCTTCTTGTTACTACTAGTAAGGCACTTGTTACTAGAAGCGATGCACTTGTTACTAGTAGCTTCTTGTTTCTCATAAATCTTGAGACGAAACCTAATTCGTCTGTGTGCGTTCAAGCCCTTGCGCATTCTTTTAGATGCCAGCTTACAAAAGGATTGGAGGCCATCGCTAATTGTTAGGTTAGAGGCTATTGCTTCTAGGTTAGGTTTCAATAAGTAGCAATGGTGACCTTCCGCCTCTCTTTTTGAAGCCATCTCACAGGATACCACTCACTTTGATGTCGATGAGGGCACCACTCTCCTCACGTTCGTGAATCCTAATTTCACATCTCTTCGACATCAAGAAACTGCTCGCCCTGGCGTCTTTCGCATCTTACCCTCTGGTGTCTTCCCATCTTAGTCCCTATTTCCGTCTCCTTCGTTCTGTGCGTCTTTTCTTTCTTCGGGTCGCTTCTTCAACTCCCTGGCGAGGCAAATCTGGGTCCAACCCTGCATCGTGCGCTGCAGGCTACAGTGAAGCTTGCTGTGCCGTGTGCCTAAAGGCCTATGTATCTGATTATATCTGCACTATCCACACAAAGCAGCTCAAAACCACAATTTGCAACAAACATATACAGGACACTACGCAGCGCAAAGGTCAAGTGACTCACTTGAGTAGGCGATATAAAAATTATCAATAGCGAGGCCTCCAACCTAAGAGCGATGGCCTCCAACCCAATAGCGAGGCCTCCAACCTAATAGCGATGGCCTCCAACCTGATAGCGATGGCCTCCAACCTGATAGCGATGGCCTCCAACCTAATAGCGATGGCCTCCAACCCAATAGCAATGGCCTCCAACCTAATTGCGATGGCCTCCAACCTAATAGCGATGGCCTCCAACCTATAGCAATGGCCTCCAACCTACTAGCTAGAAAGATACTAAATGAACATCGTGTTTGCAGCTGGAAGTGTTTTCCAATCATCGCAACAAGCATCAATCCGCATCGATCAAGCTGCCTTTGGCGCGTCTGCCAACTTCTTTGCTTGTGTTGCGTCTCCAAGGCGGCGGGGACTTGGGTGTTTGGATCAGGTCTAAGTGCCATAGGTATCAGCGAACATTGCATTTGTGCAGAATCTGATAGACGGATGCGGTACCCCCGATGGAAAGCAGGCTGAAAGGTGAAAGAGCGAAAGACGGTATTGACAATCTTTGCAAGCCGCACTTCACGGATTCGACAACTGGCCATTAAACCTTCTCATCAATGTTGCGCTGAAAGGGCAGCCTGCATCCTGCAGAGTTTTGTCACTGTCACCTGAGGAGCCACTGACAAGTTGCAAATTGATATAGCTTGAACGGGAAACCATCTTGAAGCGCTGTCAGCACCGGCTAAGATAGGCTCCTGCTCCCGCAGCCTGAGTGGATTGCACCGATCGGTCGCAATAACAGTAAATGCGTCGTTTTCCTAGAAATCTCGGAACAGTTGCAACCATGCGAAAGGTTTTCTATTTCCTGGAAACTTCCAAGGCAGTAGCTTCTTTGCCACTAGTAGCATCCTTGGGCTGGTAATTACCCATAGTGTACCCCCCTCTTCGCATTTTCTACTCCAAAGAGTGTCCGAGTGAAACAGCTTCGTGTCATCATGTATCGTGCCCACGTGAGCGGGATGTGCCCCGGCCTGCACCTCCTGTACCTCAATCTCAGCCTGCTCCTGGGGTATTTCCTGAGACCATCTTGGACGTTCACACAAGCAAGTAACACTGATCAACTCACGCCGCCTACTGTACGAACTTTGTTTGGGCACTGCTTGCTTGGGCTTTCATGTCTCCAGAAACAAGGTGCAAATTGCTCCTTCATACTACGTTCAATCATGTATTGTCCAAACCAAAAAACAAGTACACAAGCTTCGAACTTGAATAAGAGTGCAAGCATACACCTTCTATGCTTGCGTCCTCAGGCTCTTCCGGTTCCAGCTTCCCAGCCCGAATTTCCGACATACCGGAAAGTACCTCAGTGATGGAACTGCCCCGAAGCCAGATCCAGAGTTTGATATATGTAGGCTGTATAATGTTGTATGCGCTTATCCCAGAGGCTCTAGGCGTTGAGGCATTACTGTAGGTTTTTCCGCTGAATGTCCAGCTTGTGAAAGATTCGCGACATATTGAACATCTCATCACTTGAAGACCCATCGGGGGTATCCCCAACATCTGGATTTGTGCTGAGATACTCAAATGTTCACATGTTTTCACACCAAAAACAAGAGCAGCAAAGGCACTCGATCCATCCTGCTGGCCATATTGGAACGGTCCAACTCAAAGTGAACAACGTGGGGAGAGGCACCTGGCGTGTCAACACCATTTGCCTTCATGGATTTGCCCCGAAACTGCTTGGCTCTACTGCTCAAATATCTCAACATATCTCAAAACAAGGGGCTAGATATTGCCAAACTGGGCAAGGGCAGGTCTGTTAAACTGTCACGTGCATGGAAAGGGTAGTTCCCCATGAGCTGCAGCAGGGGTACTCGCTCCGTTTTCGTGCCGCCAATGCATGTGCTGGCTCAACTTAGGTCAATTTTGGCTGAGCACTTGAAAATTGAAAGCATTCAGGGTTGGTCCTCCAAACTGTTGCTTGATTTCAGATCTCTTGGCAGTCTTTAAACAGGATGGAGTTGTTTAATGCCATCAGCGCCACCAAAAAACAAGAATACGAGGGACATACAAAAGCATCCAGGCATTGTACAAGTCAGAGAACCCCGGTACATTAAACTCACTTGCTGCAGCCAGTCTCCGGAAAACAGCAAACGTGGCATCTTGATTTTCCCAACACGGCCTTCACAATGTTTTCAAATTGCCGACTCTTCTGCAGCAAACCTACTTCGAATGTCCACCAAGTTGGGACCTTCCAAACTGGAAGGCCTTCATCTGCCATTGAAGCTGCTCCACGTCTTCTGGACTCCAAACCGAAACAAAGGTCTGTGCCCAACAAGACAACAAATGGATACATATGGTTGCAAGGCACTGATTGCCAGGCAAACCACATTTAACGAACATACAACGCTTCCCCAGAGCAAAAGAAACACGCAGGCTGAAAAACTTCTGGACATCCCACTTCCAATCGGCCGGGAAGCAGCGACTCTACAACAGAAAAATCAGACCATAGACTATCATAGATTTGACTCAATCTACCTATTAGGCATAGCGGCCTAAAAACATCAGAAGGGAGTTCTGAATAATTTGTCTCAGCAATGGCAGGCTCCTTTTCATGCTTCAATGGCCAGCTGCTCCCGTCACTTGGGCCTTCTGCCTCTTGCGGGCTAAGCCTGGATTATGAAAAAGAGACTTCACTGCATTTTTGTAAATATACTTGCCCGCTCTTACTTACAGTAACTAAGTGGACGCCTACTTTCTGTAATTGTATGCTGTATAAGTATTTAAGCAGGTAAGCTCCTGGGTAGGACGCAGGATAGCTCGTGCTTCTTTAAGGAAACTCCCCTCTCCGCCTGGGGGGAGTTTCTTTGAAGCAGCGCTCGCACTATTTCCTAGATTCATCTCTTAACTGTGTCCAAAACCATTTGGGCACCTGCCCTAAAGGCTGCAAGCCAATCCACTGCAAGTGACTGCTTGCAGCAACATTCAACCACCAAACTCCACGGTGCCTGTGTTTTGGAAGGCAACTTCTCACCTGCCCAACGCAAACAGTCATGGGGCAAATGATGCTGCCAACGTGGTTCGTTTGACCACATTTTCCTAAAACATTCCTTCTTATATATATATATACATTGACATATCTATTTATCTATTTGATCTATTCGCAAATTGATGTTTTATGACCGTCCTATTGTTTTGGAGGCTTCCGGTTCTGATAGCGTTCTTCCGAACGTCTCACTCTCTTCTTAGCCGCACCGGCTGCCCAAACGGCCTCGGTTCAAACCAACAAGGCCACCAGCTCTCGGTCCAAGAGCTCTACCTGGTCGAGTTATGTCCCAAGGGTCTCACCGCACGCACCCAGAGAGCGCTAGCGAAAAAAAATCCTGAAGATGGCCCCGAACCGGAGTGGGCCCTTGTAGGGCGACGGAACAAATCATGGAACCGCCAGTTCCGGTGCTGGAATCGTTTTCATACGCTTTCATTTTATAAAACCCAACTTTCCATGATTAATATTTCCAAATCTGGGCAGGTCTCTGAGCTGAAGCACTTCGCTTCTCTCCATGGGCTGGTCCCGATTCGTCTCGACCTGGTCCGCTCGTGTCGGTCTGTAGCGGTTGAGCGGAACCTCCCCACAGCCGAACTTTCGAGAAATAAATAAGCCCTGTCCCCAACAATTTGAGGAGCCACCGCAATATGTGTGTGAGAAGCCCTTGGAATCAAAGGGAGCCTGTCGGTTTCCTTAGTGCAGGGGGCGCGCGGCCATCATGCAAACGCATGCCAACGAAACCATGCGTGATGGTGGAACCCAGGTCTGATCAGCCTGGTGTACCTGCAAGTTGTGATGTTTTGTAACCTAGAGTCTTGGAGGCTGTTTCAGGATGAAGGGGCTTTGCTGCTGTCAAGGGCTAATGCAATAGTCGTCGACTTCGTCGCCTTTGGAACCTTTGGTAATTAATTTTAGAACTTTTGAGGATTTGAGACTCACTGACCATGATCAGATCGTCTTACATGTGCTCTTACATGATCAGATCGTCTTACTCATCGCCCAGTCCGCAGCCGACGAAGGAGCCTTAGAGCAGAGGTAAGGTAAGACTTGCTGACTTGGAACGACTTTTTGAGTAGGCTGAACGCCAGTACAGCAGGCGTAGTTCACTCAAGAATCATTGGGGTCTGTCCCTACCTCAGGTGCACATGCGTCTAGGTCGTTGCAATGAGGTTTGGCTTCATTTTTCCAGCCCCTTCAGTTTGTTCCCCATTTTTCCCTCGCGTACTTTCATGTACTTTCTGTTCCTCTTTCTTTTCATGTCTTTCCTGCCTTCGTGTCTCGTCATCTCATCCTTTCTCACTGCCCATGATCAGACCGTCTTACATATCTTAACTTACATGTACTTGGCCTCTTTGGTTTTTTGCTTAGGCTGGCGTTTGCAAGCCAGGGCAATCCAGGGCAAACCGCACGTCATTTCCGTACGACATATCCCGAGTGTGTGCACACAATGGAATCGGAAATTGTCTGTGGACTCCTTGTATTGATGCTCTTGCTGTTGCCTGCCTTGTTCTTTCTCTTCCCTTTTCTTATTCTCTTCAAAAGCAGGGGAATGCGGCACTCAACGAAACTACCACAATCAAGGGATACCGAGTCTGATCAACTTGGCGTACCTGCGACAGAAGTTGTGAATGTTTGGCCAGTCTCCACTCGTAGAGGTCTTCAGGCTACAGGTCTGCAAACCTAGAAGCGATGGCCTCCCACCTAATAGCGACGGCCTCCAACCTACTAGCGATGGACTTGAGAACTGATAGCTTTGACAACTTTCGTACTTGCGACGTAACGGCTCGTACGTGTCAGGACGTTGGACTCCACTGTCGCCTGAATTTCTTTGAGTGGTGGCTTCCCCTTTCGTACGTACTAAACCTCGAGTGTGTATATGCCCTCAGCCCTCTGGTGTATTGCATTTCCATGAGGCTCAAACGTGATCCACGGACGCTGAGCTTGTTTCACGCGCATTTTGCCATGGCGGTTTCGCCAATCTGCCAAGGTTCGGGGTCCACTCCTCAATTCAAACAGCCATAGTTGCAGCTACTTGGACGCCCTTACAAGGTGCAAAGTGTCGTGCAAAGTGTTGCCCTGGTGCATTCGCTGAGTTTCCAATCTTTGCAAGCTGATACAAAACATATTGAAACTCTGGTAACACCCTCTCCTTTTGCAGTTGTTCTGGCGACTCCCAGTCTATGGGATGTTCCATCTGCGCGCGCCTGCGCAGAATCTTCCAGGCATCGATCTGAACTAGGCCTCCAGTGTCCCTTACCAAGTTAAGTTTCCCCAAATGTCTAGTAACTATATAAATGAATAGTGCAAGGGTTTCTTCAAGGAAACTCTCCTCCCGCCCTTAACTAGGAACCCTGAGCTTTCCTATGTCCTGCGAAGTAGTTTTTTAAGTTTAGTAGAGTAGCTTCCTAATAGCTACAGCCCACAAAAACATCAAAAGGAGAAGCAGCTCAGGCTTCCAAACGTCTTTGTCTGACGGGCCCTCCCGACTCCGGCCTGACACTTCTGGGGCCCTGCCCCTCATTGTTCCAAGTCGGTTCCTACAGCAAGAGGAGCAAGTACAATCTTGCCAAAATATTCACACATATCGGTGAGACCAATAGACGTTATATTGTAAATATATATATATATATAGATTATATAAATGTAAACTTGTAAACATACAAGCGTGCACTTTGTTGACCTCTGACTGGCTCATCATACCGGCAACTAGTGCCAGATTTCACCCTTGCCCAACCCCTACGCATAGCGCCCATCAAAACAAACCAGCAACAACGCAGTATTTCTTAAAAGATTTGCGCTGCTGCTGCTGCAAACTTCGAAGTTAAGAAATTTTTACTGTGAAATGCACACTGTGCATTAGGTTTGAACCTGTTTTTACCTCGCCCATGGCAGGGTGGGCTCGTGAAACCAAAAGCCGGCTTGGTTCGCGGTGCGTCGTTGCGCCACTCAGTTCGATTGTCGTGCGTCATACACACTCTGACATTGGTTTTCTGTTAACTCAGTTCCCAAGCTGAGAAAGAAGGTGAGGGAACGGAAAGGCGCATGAGTCCGCAGAAAAGTATTGTTTAACATGGTTTCACAACGAGCGCAGGTGGAAGCGGCGATCAGCAGCTGCAATGCGGTGGGAAACCTGTTTTGGGGAAGGATCACATGAAAAACCATGCATCAAACCAAAGGAGTAGACAGCGTGGGCAACAGTTGAAAGCGCAGGTACATGGTTGAGCGTCCTCAACCACTTCCCTTCCAGTGATCCAGCTTCCTTGGATCAGGTTAATCACTGGAAGCCTGATCCCCCTGCATTGAAACATGGAAAAGTAGAGTAAGGCCCTTAGGGACAGGGTTTGACACATACACACACACGTGGCCGATGTCGGCGCACGTGCGTGAGAAAGCCGGTGGCAACTGTTTTTTCGTAGAAAGCGCCGGCGTGCGGTGGAGTCGTGTCCTTTTTGGACGTATAGCTGCTGCCGTTGCTGTGGTCGGTGGAAAGCTGTATGTGTATATTGCGTGTAGGCGTGAAGCTAAGCCGGAGAGAGCCAAGCGCTGGCTACCGGCGCTGGTGGGATCCCTGATTTTCCAGGGTTGGTTGGGTTGGATGTAGGTGATTGTGCGTTGCGGAAGGTCAATGTTGAATCCCAGGAGGTGAA